GTGACCAGCCTGCTGAGGACAGAGAGTGAGACCCTGTCCCTGGGAGTAGGACGATGGTTTTCTCCAGCGAGGACACATCCCGGAAAAGAGATTTGACAGCCAGGCCTGGCATCTAGACCGCCACGTTCTGCCCACCAGCTCTCGACACCATTTAGAATCTTCTGGGCCCCGCCACTTCCTGCAGCCACCTGTCCTCAGGTCCCCATGGCTCTTCCTAGCAGCCTGACTGGGTCTGCTTTAGGTTGAGGCGTGCAACGGCCCCAGGAAGCCCCCCCACAACATGCACAGACTCATCGGGCATGACAATCCCCAGTGGACAGTCCTGAGGCATTTCCTGAGCTTGCCTGGGGCATCCCATGGGCCATCCAGAGCCGTGGCCAGGTGCACAGTGTATCCCTCGGTGGCATTCCTTTTTTTCCTGTCCACATGCATTCCTCGCCCTTGGATCTCAAAAGACCTCACAACAGGATCTGCTTTTCGGGAGCCCAGGCAGGAGACACGGGGATGAGTGGGGTGAGGGAAATGCTCTTTCTCCTCTGGATCTTCGAGGCTGTTGCTAAACTCAGAAGGGCTCCATTGTGTTGGGGGGGGGGGCTCCTGGTGGTGAAGGTAACTGTCCTCTGACCCTTGGAAGCAGCCCCACAGACGGCCAGGGGAGGACAGGAAGGTCCCTGCGGATAAGCTTCACAAGCAGCACGTGGGTGCTGCAGTCATCCTGAAGGTTCTGGTTAAATGTGGAGGAGGCAGGAGCATGGCGGGGGGCGGGGGGCTGTTAGGAGCAGACAGCCAGGGGTAAAGTCACGCTCTGCCATTGCTAATCTATAACATGGGGCAAATGACTGACCTCAGCTCACCTGGAAAATGATGTGATTCCTTCATTACCTGATATAATCAAGTAATTTTATGAAACTTTCAGCCAGACACTCAGTAACTGCTTAAGTAGTGGATATTATTACTGTCTTTGCTTTGACTCTGGTTCCTCTGTGACAGAGACCTGAGTTTTAGATGTTGATGGTTCCTTTGTTCTAGAAAACAACCCTCATGAAGAAGTCTCCAACCATTGCTCTTGGAGAAAGTCGTAAAGGAACCATCGATCCCAACCTAGACACTCCAGATTCAAGTGGGCTGTTTTGTTTGTGCAATGCACACGGTCGGGCCTGGTGAAGTCAGAGTTCCCTCTCTGCAGACTTCTGCCTTGGGTCTGAGTGGTGAGGGGAAGGCAGCCCAGGGGAGATCAGTGGACTAGAAGGAAATATCTGGAAGCACAATCATGCCTTAGTGGAGGCAGAGATGGAAATGGACAGGGAGCTTGGGGAAAGCACTGTCTGGGGGCACCGATGAGACACGGGACAGAAGGAAGCTGAAAGGATGGCACTCAGGCCTCATTTTCCTTCTAGAAGTTGGGCGTCCACATACGAGTGATGTCATTGCGTGCCGCTGGCCACACTTACAGAGTCTGGGGGTTTAATTCGCTGTCCGCAGCCATCGCAGCCTGACGGAGGGTCGCTGGACATGGCCGGGCTGGCCTTGTAAGAATTCTATCAACTAGTCCGGCTTCCACCAGCCTCGGGCGGACCGAGCAGCCGCCTGACACCGAGGGAGGGCCTGCTGCAGGTGAAGTTCCAAAACCAAGTGTTCATGGGTTAGTCAAGACTTTACAACAAAGACCTTCGATCGAGACCCCGGCAGGACACAAGAAAGCAAAGATCACCTGCCTCCCCGCCTCCAGGTCCAGCTTTCGACAACTCTTCCTCTATTCCTTTTCTTCCTGCTTATTTTAACTCTTTTTAGGAGATTCGGGTCATCTCACAGACATAGATTTTTCTGATGGGTTTTTTATGAGAGTATTTCTCTTTTTATTAAATTTTTTAAAAATGTTAATAGTCCATGTCATTCCACGTTCATGGCTCTCTACCCTTTATTTAACTGGTTCCCTATTGTTGATTATTTAAGCTTTTCCCAATTTTTGTGATAATTAGCACTCTAATGGCTGTCTTGATACAAAATTCTTTCCTCCCCCCCGACCCCCTGGTAGTGGTAACATAGCTTCTCCGGAGTAGAATTACCAGGACTAGGGACCCGAACGCAGGAAAGCTTCTTGCCCCATGCTATCCAACTCACCTTCAGCAAGTCTGACTCCCGCCATCTCTGCTATTGCTTTTGTTAACCTTGGCGCGACATTGATGTGTAAGTCAGTCAATGCGGGTGAGCCGTTTTTACTGCGCTCTCCTGGGCTTTGGACTTCCGGTTAAGACTCCATTGAGAGCTAAGTTAAAGGAACTCAAAATGCCCACGCTGGTCCCTTTCAGGATGCACCTTCCAACCTCCCGGGAACCAAGTTGGACAAAAATGGGCATTCCAAGGGCTTCCCTGCCTCCTGGTGACAAGCCCTGAGAGTTTTCTGGTGCTGCTCAGGTTAGGGAACAAGCGAATAGCCCAGCTTGTCCCAGACAGCCTGATGGGTCTGGGTCCTCCAGGTCTCTGCCCCTGCTTGATTTTTGGTGCTAAACCACATTTCTGAAAGAGGCCAGTCCTGCTGAATCTGAGTCACCTCCCCCCTCTGGGTTTCCTACACAAACAGGGCCCTTTTGAGCCCTGGAGCTGGAATCATGGGGGGTTCTGGTGAATGGTGAGACCATTGACTGCGGAGCCTTCTGTGGGCTCAGCCCGGACAAACCAGAGCAGTTTTCGGGGCCCCTTCCCACCCCTCAGCTGGGATCTTCTCGCCTCAGCAGGGGACTGGTGGGGAGAAGGGCTGGATCAGTGTTCTCCAAGAGAACCCTTGAAAGAGGTTGAAAAGATGGCTCTCAAGCAAAGTCCAATAAACAGGCACCCACAATTTTATTCAGCTCATCAATTAAAGAGGGAGCCAGAAAGTCGGAAATGCTGATTCAAATGGCATTTGAAGTACTGGGATTTATATAGTCCATTGGGAAAGACTCACTAAAATAGATTTTTATTGTTTGAGACAAATCCATTTAATGCCCTACAGAGCAATCAATCCCGGCTCTCTCCTTTCACTGGACAGGAACCATCTCGTCTCCACTGGACAGACATCCGCAGTGGAACATAGAACTTCACAGACTCTGAGCCCTTGGTTAACAGTAAATGTCGAAGTCCAACAACAGCCTGTCCTCCTAGAAATAGGGAAGATCTTTGGGTCGACCTCTGAAACAAAACTTTCCGGTGACGTTGGAAATAACACCCAATCATCCCCTTGGCCTTATTTCCAGATTTTGGAGAGTTTTTATTAACCACGCAAGCTTATAACCACCCCCGCAAAAGCAACTCAGATCACGTACTCTGCCGTGCCGGCTAGGCACGATCAGGGACCCTGGAGTGTGAAAGTGCCCCTAGACCTTGGAGGGGAGCAGCCGCCAAGCCAGCAGGAACTCTGCGACATCTTCGTCTTACACGAGGTGCCTGTGGTCCTTAACTTTCTAGATGGTCATATATTTATGTGTCTTGTATCTCTAAGCGCACTGCAAACTTCTTGATGGCAGAGTACGTGACTTATAAACCCACAGACTTTTAGAAATATAGAGCCTTTGAGATTTTTAGTCCAATGCTCTCATTTATTAGATAGCTTGTACCCCAGCTTTATTAAAGGACTTGCCTAAAGCCAACCAGCTAGAATGTGCAGAACCAGGAGAAACACGAGACCCCTAGACTCCTGCCCCAGGTTCTGCCCAGGCTTCTTCCTCCGCCCCAGGCATACCTCTGAATGCAATGTATATGGGTCAGATGGAAGGAAGGAAGGAAGGAAGGAAAGGGGATGGAGGAGTGAAGGAAGATGTTTGGGTGCGTGGATGGTGAGTGGGTAGGTGGGTGGAGAGGTGGTAGATGGGCGACTGGGTGGATGGGTGGATAGATGGGTGGATGGATGGTGGGTAGGTGAGTGAATGAACAGATAGAAAGTAAACACAATATCTAAATTTAAAGGAGAAAAGAACTTGTGACCAAAATTCCGTTATTCTCTTTTCCAGGAAAAGCAGACAAAATTAGTTCTAACTTTACAAAATTTCTTCCCTGCTCTCCTGCCCTTGAATGAACGGACCAGCAGCCTCTAGGGGTGGTGGAGGGTTCCCGACCCCAGCTGTACATTGGAATTTCCTCGTACTGGTCTCCTCCTCAGACCAACTAGATCAAAACTCCTAGGAATGGTGTCCTAGCATCGTTTTTTATCAGACCTCCTCAGGATAACAATCACTGACAGTGCTGGTGAGAGGCTGACAGGTCAGTCCGGGGGCCGAAGGCCCTGACTGGGCAGAGCCGCTCTGATGGGGGGTTAGCATAACTTGACGGCTATGCTCTGCTCTCCAGCCTCTGGACCAACCAGCCCAATAGAAGGACCTTCCTCCAGGCCACCACGGATGGGCCAGAGACGGCAGAGCTCGCTGGGGCTGACGAGGAAACCCCCGTTTTAGGGAAGGATGAAGGAGAGGCTGTGCCATGACTCTTGCTAGGAGTCAGCCTCCACGAGGTAAGAGTTGGCCTTGCAGCCTAAGAAAAATCCGGTTTCAGGAGAAAACTGCAGCCGGACCCATGAGCCCCCTGGTGACGTTGGGAAGAGAACCTCGGTGTTGGAGGGGAGTGGAGCCCACAGTCTACACAGAAGGTTTTGTTTTTGTTTTTATAATTTATTTATTTATTTGACAGAGAGAGAGAGAGCAAGAGAGGGAACACAAGCAGGGGGAGTGGGAGAGGGGGAAGCAGGCTTCCCGCTGAGCAGGGAGCTGGACGCGGGGCTCCATCCCAGGACCATCCCAGGACCCCGGGATCATGACCTGAGCTGAAAGCAGCCACATAACGACTGAGCCACCCAGACGCCTCCTGAATGGTCTTTTTTTTTTTTTTTTAAGATTTCATTTATTTATTTGACAGACAGAGATCACAAGTAGGCAGAGAGATAGGCAGAGAGGAGGAAGCAGGCTTCCTGCTGAGCAGAGAGCCCGACATGGGGCTCGATCCCAGGACCCTGAGATCATAACCCGAGCCGAAGACAGAGGCTTTAACCCACTGAGCCACCCAGGCGCCCCGGTCATCTTTTAATTCGTACTTATGTCCTTCTAGAACTCCCTGTGGAGCTTAACCTTTCATCCAGGTTTGCTACAAGAAGGGGACATTGGCCGTTTCTGAATCCTTTGTGACACTGCTCTGTAGACACCGTCCTTATGTGATTTCATCACGTAAGCGGGATCTTAACATGACCCTAGAAGAGGTAATGGTAGGAGAATGTTTCTTTCTTTGAACTCACGGGGCGATCCTTGAGTCAGACAGTTGGGCCTTTTCCGCCGTCGGGTGGAGACAAACAGCCCCTCTTCTACTCCATCAGCTCCTGTCCCGCTGGCCCCGGCCTCTCGGAGAAGCAGCTTCCGTCCTCCCGCGATCTGCCTCGAACCCTCAGCTGCGTGATTCTTCACCTGCCCTTTCGGTTCTTTTCTGCCTGAGTGTGTAGTAGGTGCCTGTGGGAGACCAGGCCCCTGACATATATTATTTCATCTACACTGGGCCGGAGAGCACCCACCTTGGTGTGAACTCCCGCGGGAACGCTCGCCTGCCACAGTCTTCACTGGCTCAGTTTTGACAGGCTTCGGGACTACTCCAGGAGAGGCAGCTGCCGGCTCAGAGAGGGAAGCTCGGGAACCCCTGCTGCCTCCTCATGGGGGCCCTCCAGGGCTGGGTGCTTCTCCTCTCCCCATCTGCTCATGCCCTTCTCAGTGTTCCAGCTTACGCAGGCCTCAGTTTACCAGCAGACCCTGGCCTTGCCAGCCTGCCCTGAGGCCCACAGCAGGCCCTGGGCTCTACAGCACATGGAACAAAATCACACGGAGGAGGAACCAGCTGGCCTGTCTGGGTTCCACGTGGTCCAGTGGGCTCTGGCCCCAGGCTGGGCATGGTCTACAAACAGGGATGTCAGGGCCTCAGGAGGACAAGGACTGTCACAGACACACGGAAATCATGAGAGGTGCTCAGAGCAATGCATGGCACCAAGTTGAGCTTCAGTGTCCCGCGGCTGTTGTGGGACCTGAGTAGCTCAGTGTCTAATCGTGACAAAGACCGTGAGCGTATTATTGGCCATAATTAGGAGATTTGGTAACATTTTTCAATCGAAAAACCAATCAATTTTATTAGGTATAATGTGTACATGATACACTGCGTTCATTTGAAGTGTAGGATTTGATGAGCTTGGTTGAGTGAAGATACAGTCTGAACTGCATCATTCCAGAATGTTCCCTCCTGCCCTGGCCCTGTCCACTCTCTCGTTATCCCCTACCTCAGACAGCCACTTATCTGCTTCTGTCCCTAGAGCTTCATTTAAGGTTTCTAGAATTTTATTTACATGAAATCCTATTGTGCGTACCCTTGGGTCTGGCTTCTCTCCCTCAGGCTAATCGTTCTGAGATCCATCCATGGTGTGGTGTGTTTCGGAAGTACGTTCCTTTTCCTACGTTGGCCCATTGATTTGGCCCAGCAAGGGCTCAGCAGGGAAGGGCAGGGGTCGGCCCTGGGGTGGAGTCGTGAATGGCCGGGGCAGTCTGCCTTCGTCGGGCTGACCCACAGCCTCATGGGAAGTCAGACATCAAGCAGCCAGCTTGTTATCTGACGACCGCCATCTTAAAGGCTACAAGGCCTTGAGATATGGGGCCTTGTGAGGGCCAAAGAGGTAGGTTTGTGGGAGAAACAGCTGAGCCAAGATATGAAGGAGTAGTCCTCGGGACAAAGAGGTCAGAGCAGCACCTGGTGGTTGGACCAGCCTGGAGCAAGTTCTGAGGGGAGGAGAGGAAGCTGGCGGGTAAGTAGGGTGGAAAGGTGCATGTCTTGGCAGAGCGTTTGGAATTACCCGAGTGACAGAAGGGTTTTTAAACAGAGATGTGGTGTGATTAGATACCCAGACCTAAGGGGCAGTAATGGCCATGAGAGACCTACCAGTGAGGGGCTATTGCCATAACACGGGGCAGAGCCAGTGGCGGTGTAAATTAGAGTCAGATCACGAGGGCAAAGATGGAGGGATTTGCGGACCATTTAGGACATAGAATGCACTGAGGTTTAGGATCCCATAGCCAGCTGTTGGGGGGACCCCGATGCCTGGAGGAGGCCTGGCTGGCAGTGTTCCCTGGGCTCAGATGCTGGGCTTCCTTCCTATTCTAGTCAGCTCAGGTGGCCAGAGCACATACCACAGACAGTGGGTATCCACTTCCATTTCTCACTACTCTGAAGTCCAAGATCAAGGTGCCAGCTGATCCAGGGTCTGGTGAGGCCCCACTTCCTGGTTTGCAGATGGCCACTTTCTCCCTATATCCGCACATAGCAGAGAGCAGAGAGAAAGGAAAGCAAGCTCCCTCTTGTCTTCTTATAAAGACATAAATCCCATCATGGGGCTCTACCCTCATGACCTAACCACTCCCAAAGGCCCACCTCCTAATGCCATTGCCTTGGGGATTTGGGCTTCATATAGGCATTCGTGGTGGATGTGGGGGAGGGGGAGGGGGGACAGACACATAAACATTCAATCCATAAAACTCCTTCACCTCCTGTCCCAGATTTCCCTGTTGCTCTGTCTGGAAGCCCAACCTCTCTGTGACAGTAGCCGTCCATCCATCCCAATCACCGTTCCTGGTTGGGCTGTGGCTAGAGCCCAGCCCAGCTCTTCACCTCCTCCAACTGGAGGTCAGCTCCTGCATCCAGGTTCCAAGGCTTGAGAGTGAGACTTTGTGGAAACTCCAGGGCTCTGGATTCACTCTGTAATGATTCACGATCTGCCTCCCCCTGGAAGTATCAAAAATAGCTCAATGGCCCCAATGGCTTCCTCTCCACCCAGCTCCAAGGCTACAGCTCTCATGGAAGCTTCAGTCCAGTGGTTTCACTCCGGGCCACAGGGGACCCTAACCTTTGGTCTGCTCTCCTGGGTTCCCTCACTCCTATCCTGTTGCTTCAGCCCTGGCCCTTGCCACTAACCCCAGACATTTCCCTCTGTTGACTTTATCGATTAACCCATCTTCCAGAGTTGCCACTGGACACTGCCCTTGAGATATGTTTGGTCTCATGCCCTGTACCCCACAGGGCCATACTTGTTCCATGCTGGCACTTCCCTGAGCCCCAGACCTTGAAGCCTGGGGCAGCCAGGAGGGAAGGAAGAGAGTGGCCTCTCATTGCAGGGTCCCCTGCACCAAGCTTACCCGGACCGCTGTTGATGGCTTGGCCTCCGACGCCCAGCCCTGCTCTGGTCCACTGTCCTGGCCAAGGGCACCTCTGTGGTCCAGCTGTGCCTCCAGCTCCTTGACCTCTGCCTCCTGGCCTGCTGCTGAGTCCTACTGCTCCTTTATCCTGAGGACCCCAGACTCCTCTTATAACCAAGAGGGCACGGAACCCAGCTGACCCAGTCAGAGATCCATACCTGGGAAGACCACGTGAGCCCAGGCTCACATACACACGGAACACTCAGCGGTCGGCAGACAAGGATTGGGCGGGAGTCAAAGACACACAGTCTCATTTTGTCTGCAATTCTGCATAATAGCCAGCTTCATGATATCCTTTATATGGAATTTCACTTCACGGCTCAAAATTATCTACTTAATTACCTGCAGCTTCAGTTGCCACGATTAATGGCTCCGTGCCACTAAGGTGACACCTGGCAACAGTTGTTTATTTATGGGAAGCTACACGAGGAAGCCAAATGGTCCCACTTGTTTATAAATCTGATCAAAGATGTAAAACATGGATTTTTAACTAAATACCTTAGACAAGCCAAAGCCGCAGGCCAAGGAAGCCACTTTTCACTGGATGCTCCCAAGCCAGGTGATCGTCCAGGTTCCTGGAAGCCGCCTGTCCTGCCCCATGATCCCTCTTCAGCCCCGAAAGCAGACCGCACGTCCAACCAGGTGCCCTGCTATTTTATTTTCCTGCCAGCACAACATGAATGCATGTCTACTTCAGGATATTTAATGCTTCTAGTTAAACTGATTTCTTTGAAGAGGAAAGACTAATTTGCATGTGAATGCAAATACAACAAAACGTTAAGTGTGCGCTGGAAGAAGGAAGGAAGGAGTTTACCATTTGTCAAGACAGCAATGGCGACACCTCGTTTCCCACATAAAAGCCCTGGGATTGGTTCTTCGTGTTGATGTAGCACTTAACAATTTGCTGGGGCTGCCACAGACGTGACTGCTTTATACCCAGAGTGTTTCGATGATGTGGCGTTCATTCCTGGGCTAAGTGACAAGAACTCCGCCAGGGAGTCAAGGGATGTGCTCATGCCTAGCCCAACTCCAAAGCCAGTCCCCATTCAAGCCGGGGCGAGCCTTTTCCACCAGAAACAAATCCTTGATTCTCACTCCTGCCTCCCAAGGGACAAGAGGCTAGAGAAGCACTTCCTAAGTAATTCACTCACTACATGTTGGAGGAAGGGGATCAGGATCCAGGTGGTGGCCTCATGACTTTTGATCCCAAAGAGGCTGGTGCTCGAGCCTAATGGGAAGCCGGGGTTGTGTTACTCGACACACCGGGTCGCCAGAACCCGAAACTTTTTAAAAAGAGGAAGGAAATATTATTTTTCCTGGTCACCATTTAGAAAGAACTCAACTTATTTTCCACTGACGTCACTAAAAATGCCATTACTGAGCTGAAAACAAACAGAAAATGTTTGATTCTAATGGGAGATTGTTCCCAGTTGAGGATACAAGCAGATAGTGCACACATAGTGGTAGGTCTGGGATGCTCAAGCCAGAGGGGACCAGGGAGACCACCTTGCCACATGTTCCCATTTGATAGATGGGCACACTGAGGCCCAGACGCCGGAATGGCTGCCTGAGACCAGGTGCTCTGGCAAGTGGAGAGCTCCTGGGGGCTCCCATCCCAGAGGGGAGAGAGAACTTGCTCACTCTGTTAGAAGAAATGTGTAAGGAAAGCTAGCATGTTGTGGGCGAGGGAGCAAGGCTGCGTTTCTCGGTCAAGGACCTTACGAAACTCTGCACATTCATCATCCATCAGTGTGAAGGGCCAAGTTTGCTTCCATATCATATTCATGATGGATTTGCTTATTTAAACGAACGCCATGAGGCTCTGGCGAACACGGTGGAAAAACTTGTGTGTAAGGAAAGGCAATCTGTACATGAGGAGGAAGGAAACGAGGGGGCAGGAAAAGGAAGAGGGGAGACTGGGGAGCTCAGGGACCCAGGATGCCGAGAGCCTCTCTGAGGGGACCTCCTGGGGCAGAGACAGGCTGTGGCACTTACAAGGACTGCCCTGTATTTTCACAACATGTAGGACATCCTTGCCTGGAAAAGTCTTCCTCCTTCCTCAAGGAGCTGTACACGCTAATGAGTTTAATGTTACCAACCAGACTTTTTACAGAAGAGTTTGTGTGCTCGCCGCCCCCCAACCACCTGGTACCCTCTTCACCACCCTTGAGACCCGGCCCTCCCCTCCTCAGGTATTTGCATCCCCGGTGTTCTCAGCAAGGCCTCCTATAACTGACCTCTTGCAAACCAATCCCCATTCCTTTTTTTAAAGATTTTATTTACTTATTTGAGATAGAGAAAGCATGAACCAAGTGGGGGGAGCAGCAGGCAGAGGGAGAAACAGGCTCCGCACTGAGCAGGGAGCCCAATGTGGGGCTCGATCCCAGGACCCTGAGATCATGACCGGAGCCGAAGGCAGACCCTGAATGGACTGAGCCACCCAGGCTCCAATCCCCATTTCTGACATTCTTCTATCTCCTGTATGTGCTTTATTTTTTAATTAAGCAGTAATCACCGTTTATTTCTATTTATTTACTTATTTATAGCTTTAATTTCTTGCCTTTCTGCGTTAGCATGAGAGCCCTGGGAAAGCAGGGGTTGCACTCTCATTTTCTCTACTGGATCCTTGTAGAACTGAACCCATCACATGGGCTGCATTTAGAAATTTCCATTTTCTAAAGTTATCTTCCCATATAGATGATGGCAGAAATATTTAAAACATCCTTTTGAACACATGGCTGCGATTATAGCAATAAGTACAGATCTGGGAGCCTTGGAATCTGTATTTTTTGATCCCTGGTGGCTGAGAGCAGGACCAGTAGAGAGGTCGGTGGGGAGAAGGAGACACAGCCAGGTGTCTGGTCAGGTTGGGAGGTCAAGCCAGGAGCCTCATTTCTGACGGGTGACAGCTCTCACAGGTAACCGGAAAAAGCCCACCTGCAGAGGAATGTGGAAGAGATGTTGTCTCCCTTTGCCTTGGTTCAGACATAAGCAGAAAAAAGTAAAAGATATGCCTCCTGAAAATTCATAGCTACTAGCCAGCACTCACAGATTTGGAGTCCAAGTTCCCATCGTACGAATGGCCTTAAAACTGCCAAAAAAATATCGAAAGTGATCCCAGATTGGTCCTTCCTCCAGATCCTGGCAGAAGGAAGTATACACTCTTCCCGGGGAACACAGCTCTAAGAAATCCAAGGGACTTGAGCTCACAGTCAAAGGTCACTAAATGAAAATAAACAAAGAAACAAACAAAAAACAGACTCTTAAGTACAGAGAACAAACTGGTGGTTGTCAGGGTAAGGGGGGAGATGGGCAAAACAAATAAAGGAGATTAAGAGTATATGTCTTCCAAAGAGCACTGAGTAATGTAAAAAATTGCTGAATCATGATATTTTGCACCTGAAACTATGTAATACTGTATGTTTTTTATTAACTTTTTAATTTTATTTCCAGTAGAGTTAATAATATAGACTGTTACATTAGTCTTGGGTGTACAATATAGTGATTCATTGATTCTATATGTTAATCAGTGTTCATCAGGATAAGTGTACTCTTAATCCCCATCACCCCTCCCCCCACCCACCTCCTTCTGGAAACCATCAGTTTATTCTCTATGGTTCCCTCTGGTTAAGAGTGTGATTCTTGATCTCTCTCTCTCTCTCTCTCTTTTTTCCTTTGTTCATTTGTTTTCTTTCTTAAATTGCACATACGAGTGAAATCATGAGTGAATCTCTGGCTGACTTACTTCACTTAGCTTTATACTCCCTAGGATCTAGGGATCCATGTTGTTGCAAATGGCAAGGTTTCATTCTTTTTTTATAGCTACATAATATATGTGAATTAATTCCATATATGATTATTATGTAGCCATATGATATATATCCATTATATACGAATGTTACATAGCCATATCAGATATATATATAGGTATATATACATACATATATATATATATATGGAATGCTAATTCAAAAGGATACATGCACCCCTGTACATATCTCCATTCATCTATCAATGGACATTTGGACTGCTTCCATAATTTGGCTATTATAAAATAAAACTGCTAAAAACATAGAGGTGCATGTATCCTTTTGAACTAGCATTTTTGTATTTTGGGGGTAATTACCCAATAGTGCTATTACTAGATCATTGGGTAGTTCTACTTTTACCTTTTTGAGGATGCTTCACACTGTTTTCCAGAGTGACTGCACCAGTTTGCATTCCCACCAACAGTGTAAGAGGGTTCCTTTTTCTCCACATCTTCGCTAACGCTTGTTGTTTCTTGTGTTTTTTATTTTAGCAATTCTGACAGTTGAGAGGAAATATTTCATTGTGATTTTTATTTGTATTTCCCTGATGATGAATGATGTTGAGCAACTTTTTATGTGTCTGTTAGCCATCTGGATGTCTTTGCAGAAATGCCTGTTCATGTCTTCTGCCCATTTTTAAATTGGATTATTTGTTTTCTGGGTTTTGGGTTGTATCAGTTCTTTATAAATTTTGGATACTGACCCTTCATTGGATATGTCATTTGCAAATATCTTCTCCCATTTAGTAGGCTACCTTTTAGTTTAGAAGATAACACTGTATGTTAAGTATGCTTCAATAACAAAATAATTCAATAAGGTTCTATTTACTAGGGTGACTAATCAAAAAGCAAAATAGAAAAAAATCATACTCATAAAAAAGAAAAAAAGAAAAATAAATAAAACCAAAGACCTAGAGACTGAAGAAGATGAATAAAGTTTTCATTTCAGTGAGTTGCATGAAAATCTGCAGTTAAAGTTTCTACCCTGCTCCATTTCTTTTTTTTTTTTTATGGTATTTTTAAAAAAGATTTTATTTATTTATTTGAGAGAGAGGGAGAGAATGAGCTGGGGGAGGGACAGAGGGAGAAGGACAAGCAGACTCTCAGCTGAGCAGGGTGCCCAATACAGGGCTCCACCCCAGGACCCTGGGATCGTGACCTGAGCTAAAGGCAGATGCTTGATGACTGAGCCACCCAGATGCTCCCACTCTACTCCATTTGTAATAAAAACTGAATTGCTTTGGATTTTTTAAAATAATACTTTTAAGGTTCAGGAGATCTAATATAAGTATACCTTGCATTTATATAGTATTTTACACTTTACAGAGAACTTTCACATATATTATCTTATTTATCTCATAAAACAATGCTATTGCTTCATGCAATCATTTAAATTTAGAATTTAAACAAAACTGGGAAGAAAAAAATGTTTAACTCACTAAATATGTGAGTAAACAAGCCACTGCAAGGGAATCAGTGGATGCTACAAACTACAAAATAAGCATTGGAAAAACAACAAGTAGGATCATCATCAGGTACAGAAAACAAACTAAGGAAATTAAGTTTAAGGAAATAAAAGGGAATATCAGAAAAATAGAGAACCACAGAACAAGAGGCCATAAAATCACTAGGCAGATCTTAAAAGGACCAAATAGAACTTTTAGAAAGGAAAAATAGAACTGATATTACTAACTCATAGCATGAGTTAAATAGCAAATAAGATACAGTCAAGGAGAGAATTAGTGAAGTGGAAGGTGGATACCAGAAATAGCACAATAAATGAGAGAGGGTGAGAGAGATGGAAATCTGAAAAGGAAGTATCAAGAGAAATAAAGGATAA